AGTTACTTTGGGGTATGCTCATTTATTCGGGTTACTCTTCTGGGAGGGGGAGGGGAGAGTGTTCTGTAATTCTATCAATGTACTGCTTGTGTCACGTGCGTTTTCATATGGAGCTCTACTTCTCCCTTATGCAAGTCTCCTCCCAATGGATCTATCCTGCCGGCCCTAGGTTCCCTAGGGCTTGGTTCCTCCAGCCCCAGAACTGGATAAACACACATATACACACACACATACATTAACAGAGCAAGTGTGAGTGGACCGGGTCAATCAGCACTTTCAAGCTGACCCCTTATATGTCCCTGGACTCAATGGGCTGGATCAAGCAGCACTTTCAAGCTGCCCTCCCTTATGTGCCCCTGGGCTCAATGGGCTGGGTCAAGCAGCACTTTCAAGCTGCCACCCTTATGTGTCCCAGATTCAGCAGGTCCTATCCCCACTCTCACATCACAATTGTACTGATAGTAACTTACTTGATGAGCAAACCCCACAGTATTTTGGGCGCTGCAGGGATCTTTAGCTTAGGTAAAAGAAGCGTTGCTGTAGAGTAAATGGGGGAAGCTAAAAACACAAAAGAATAAAGTTCAGCAAGAGAGAGAGAAGCAACCAACTTAACCATAAAAGTTATTTATTGAATAATAGTGATAACTACACAAGGAGGGCTAAACCAACATAACATACATTATTAAAGGTTAATACATAAGGTAGAAAGGAAAACGGAGAGAGAGAAAGAAGTGGATCTCATTGCTTCCTGAAGCTTGAACTGGTCAGGGTTCCCAGGTGATGGTGGTAGCTCAGGGCCCTGAGGGCAGGAGACAGGCAGAGCCACCAGCATAATCAGTGGAGATGGAGTCCCAGTGGACCGGAGCGGCTCCAGGGTTTTTGCTGCCCTAAGTGGCAGCTCTCCTCCTCTTAGCATTTGGTGGCAGCGGTCCTTCCACTCCGCGTCTTCGGGGCACTTTGGCAGCGGGTCCCGGAGCGAGTGAAGGACCCGCTGCCGAATTTCTGCCGAAGACCCGGAGCGGAAGGACCCCCCGCCGCCGAATTTCCGCCAAGGATGGCAAAATGCTGCCCCCCAAATCTTGCTGCCCTAGGCGACCGCCTAGGGTCGCCTAGTGGAAGCACCGGCCCTGCCAGTGGAACTGATGCAGAGCTTGGGTCTATGCATCAGAACGCTTACTTGAACATAGGTAGGGGTTTTAGAGAAACAACAATAGTTCAAGGGAGAACACTAGATTTGTGTATGGGTAAACTGATGACTCAAGGGTTTCTTTAGGCTAGACAATAGGAGCTGATCACTCTTGGCTATGGGTGGTGATTTCTTCCAGGGAGCTCACAATGCAACTAGGCTGCTTCAATATTTTGGATATCAATCAAGGATTCATTACTAGAATTGGTCAGATAACTGCTGAGCTGGGAGTAGGCAGGCACAGGTTCATTAACATCTGGAGCAGAGATTCCCATGATGCAGTGCTTCCCTGCTTTTCTGGTCCCAGAGTTCAGTGCAGTTCTCGGTTCGTCATTCTGTATGCTAATCCCTGTCCCATCTTTCATGCAGATGAGGCTAGTGGAGTTGTCTCTGCTCTCCATTCTGTATGCAAATGGAGATGTCTTAATCTTGTCACCCTTGTCAGGAGGGGTCTAGGTGTGTCTCCCAACACCCTTCACTGCTCTCTGCAAACCTTTTCTCTGATCAGTCTTGGTTCAAGCAGAGACCGGGTGGGGGAGGATGGGTGTCCCTCATGAGTCATAAAGGCCAGACACTGTGCCCTGGTTCCCCAAAAACACAGAGCTGACTGGTATCAAGCTCTACAGGAAGCAGTGCAGAAGTAAGGATGGCAATACCATGCCATGCTATCCTTACTTCTGCGCTGTTGGTGGCAGCTCTGCCTTCAGAGCAGCCACTGCTCTCCAGCTGCCCAGCTCTGAAGGTACCGCCACTGTCAGCAGCAGCGCAGAAGTAAGGGAGCGGTACCGCAATCCCACCTACAATAACCTTCTGACCACCCCACAACTCCTTTTTGGGGCCAGGACCCTTACAATTACAACACCGTGAAATTTCAGATTTAAATAGCTGAAATCATGAAATTTATGATTTTTTAAATCGTGTGACCGTGTAATTGACCAAAATGGACTGTGAATTTGGTAGGGCCCTAATAATAAACCTTTGAGAGTTTTATTATTTCTCTTTTCAGGTGTTTTTTCTCCCCCTATGAATGACATCAGCTTCCTAACATTATAGTTCATCACAGGCAGTCTGTGGGTGTGTTTTATTTCTGAATGTTTTAATCACAAATCTCACAGTTCAGTGCACTGCATTCTTCAATGCGGCAACATCAAAGTAACCTGCCATTAAGTCCCTCTACCAATTTTTGTGAATTTACAGTCTGATATTAAAAAAAATTAATAATGCTATTTTAATGATATACAAGTACAATTGAATTACCCATAAAAGGGAAACAGTAAAATTGACAATAGTGTAATAGTAAGGAGACAAATGTGAATTCATATTTTGACCACTGTCAGTGGTCAACTATCTGTTTATTTCTGAAAGAAGAAATAGCAATATGATCTTGGTTAAGTGCCAATGTGGACAGAAAAAGATAAATTTGAATCTTAAAAGTATACCCATGTTTATTAATTGGGTTCGCACACACGCAGTGAGGAGAATTAGATCTTATTGTATATTGCTCATTATTTTCATGGTAGTCACTACCATGTAATAAACCCACTTTACTGTTGCTGACTCACTAAAAAGATCTATGTTTCCTAAATGAATGACTTTCAGTCGATATACAGCAAAATACAAACTTGCTGCTTCGTATTAGTGTTAACGAAGTCATGAAATGCACAAATCCACAAACTTTCAAATCACAGTTAAAGAAGAACAGAAAGGACATTGTGATTCATTTTGAAGATGTGAAATATTTTTCTGTACAGGTATTATTACAGCTTCCACTCTTTTCTAATGTAATTCTCATTATTGGTTTAATAGCATGATAACACGGAATACTTAGAGCTGTTTTTTCAGGGGCAAGGAGGAGGGAATCTCATGTACTGTAGTACTTTGTGACTATTCTCTTTTTTTTTATCAATGTACATCTCATCTGGGTTCATAAAGTAAAACTGCAATGAAGTCTGCAGGCTCCGCTCCAGTCTCTTAACCACAAGACTGTTTTTCTTCTGCCCAGAGCTGAGAGATTGTTATTGCTATCTGGTCAAGGGAGGATGAATTGGAGACTATTCTCTGGTTGAGTAGGGTGCACATATATCGTAACATCGTAGAAATCATTGGAGTTACATTGGTGTAAAACTGGTATAATGGATTGGTCAGGCCCATAGTGTTCGCTTGGTGCTTTATATTAATTTGTCAAGTATGGTACAGTGTACTGGGGATATGTGACTCATTCTGTCATTGTTCAAGCTAAATTGTGAACAAGCAAATAGTTGTTCCGTGGTTTAGATTGGAGAGTGGAGGGAATAAAAGGGCAGATTTAAGATTGTTTTGGGTAGTAAAACTCTGCATTTCCATGCTTTCCAATGTTTGATTTAAGTGTAATCTTAACTTTGAATTTCTGTGCTTTCAGATATTTGTATTTTATTCAATTGCAATGTTTTATTAAGATATTTTCCCTCTGAAGTTATTGATACATATTTACAACCTTATGTCCAGCTTAACTTGGTTTGATGTGGAATTTTTTTGGGCTCATTTTTAAGAATAACTTAGTGATATGTAGGTGTATGTAGTATGTTACTAAAAACGCACTCTTAGCTCCATTTAGCCAATTCCACTATGCCATTCCATCTTTGTCGAACTAAGTACACTTAATCTGAGCTGTGCCTACTGGGAGGGTGGAAGGTGGTGAGATTGACGTGAAGCATGACTGGGTGATATGGGGGAAGTCAGAATGCCTTTGCTAGTGGGTGCGATGGGGTTCTCCATTTAGCCTTTGTTGTGGAACATAAATTCCTGTTATTTGAGGCAATTGAAACTTACTAGTACTATTACCCCTTTTGACCCAAGTAGTAAGCCAAAATTTAGGGTGTTTTGGGTTGTTTCCTTTAAGAGAAATTGATGATAGTCAGATGTTTCTTTGATGTAGTCCTGTTTACTTACAAAGAAGGTGCACAAACTCCTGTTTCTCTGAAAGCAGTAAGGTCAAACAGCAGGAGGCAGTTTCCGTGCTCATAATTCCAAGCCTGCATTTCCAGCCAGCATTCTGCCCACAAACCCTTTTTCTTAGTTTTCGGTCAGGACCATGCTACCAATTCTTCTCTTACTGTCTCCTGGCTTTCTGCCTGCCTCTGACATGCAACTGCAGTTCAATTAATTGCCAGTCCCTGCGTTTATCATCCCTCAGGGCATCCTATTGGACCAGATCGCCCCTACTGCCCAGACCTTGTGTGAAGTCTACTCCTTCATTGGAAGTTTCCATTGTTCCAACTATTACAGTACTAAACAGAGGGGCATTTAATTGTTCTCCCATTTAGCCTAAATGGAAGGTGCCTGCTACTATGCCATCAGTTTCAAAGAGATCTGTGAGTGCCCAGCCTTCACTTGTTCCCCTCAGAACTGTGTAATGAGTGCTGTAGCAAATGGGTCAGTTTACCCCAGATTTAACCCTTTTCTCATTTGCTCTTGTTGCTCCATGTAGATAGCATGTAGATGTTGTGTTTTAATTTTTCAGGTTCCAAGGCGGCAAGAGGATGAGCGGAATAGGATTATTCTAGAATTGGTAGGATTTCAAGGTCCAAAAGACTTTCCAAGGTTGCTGGGGAGTGCAACTGTACACCTTTATGAAGTCATTAAGGTGGGTCTGACAAAAGAAAAGATTATCTAGGACGTGTTCTAAATTGTTTGTTCCACACATGCTTTGGCAAGTAGTACACAAGATAAACCATACTCACAACATCAGCTGTTTGTACTGAAACAATAGAGCAGTTAATATAACAAAGCAGTATTTCCTTATGTAAGTGTCCAGTTTTTAGCTGACTGGGTGATAATGTACTGTAATAATAATAGTTGGTACTTATATTGTTCTTTCTATCTTTGAAGTGCCTACAAAAATGTAATCCTCGCAAGACTTGCAAGATATTGTAGATAAATAAATTTCAATATCTCTGAGATACTGAGGGCTTAAGGCCAGTTTTTCAAACTTGGGTGTCAAAAGTTATTTCCTAAAACAAGTGTTTAGGTACCTAAATATAGAATTGGGTCCCAATCCTGCAACAACTGACGTGCATAACTTTACTTATGTGAGTAGTAGCATTAAAATCTGTGGGACTACTTGCATGCATAATGTTACTTGCATGTGTTTGCAGGATCCGGGCCTTTGACACCTAATTGTCATCACTCAAGTTTGAAAATCTGGTTCTAAATAACTTTTGTAAAGACAAAAAATGACAGTGGCAAAACTAGGATTTGAATTCACAATCTCAAGATCGGACAACTAGCTTGCCTAACTGCCTTTCCATGTATGCTTCCTTTTATTTGATTTTTAAACTATAACAATGTGTGGGAAAAGTATGTTGCATTGCAGTGGGGTGAACACCAGCTCTTGCCCTGAAGGGATTGGAAAAGCCCTTCAGAGGGCCGGAGCTGTGGAAGGGAGCAAAACCCCAGCTGATTGGTGGAAGTGGCTGCAGCTGGGGCCACGCCCCAAACTGAGCAACTAGGCCTGAAAAGAAGGCCAGGGCAACCAGAAGCTCAGGAGTCTCACTCTGACTGGAGAGAGAGATAGGCCTGGCTGCTGGGGAACTCACCAGGGACCTAGAGTGAGGCAGAGCTGGGGAAACGCCTTGGGGGCAGGGAAGCCCTAGGCCAGCAACTCCCCAGTTTGCAGGGCCTAGTCCTAGGCCCACATAGGTATTGGGGTTGCAGAGGGGCAGCCTGAGGGTGGGTGAAGGCAGCCAATCCAAACCCCTTGTTGCCTGTGATGATTGGCTGATAGACTGCAGTCCGCCCCAGGGCAAGGAGGCTAGATTGTCACTGGCGGTAGCCACGACTGAGGCGATGTGGGGATAGGGGATGGGGGTTCCCCTGGGTGGGGAGACCCAGAGAGAGTGGGGTACTGCCAGGGGGGCAGCACCCAAACCAAGGGCACTGGGGTCCGGGAGGGACACGGGGCCAACGATGGGCGGGACATCTGGCCTGCAGAGGGTGCTCCGGTGACTGGTGAGCTAATTCCCGAGACCACCAGCAGGAGGCGCCGCAGGGGTGAGTCTGCGCCTGATTACAAACATCATCTATTGTAATTACAAATTTTGTGTATTCCTCTTACATGCTTGGTAATATAGTACTATAAAACACTGGTTTTGGAGATTTGTGAATCTAAATATTCCTTTTCTTTCTTTCCCCACCCACCCAGAAAGGCCACTTCATTGAAACATGTGCCATGAGGATTGGAAATATGGTAGGATTTCTTTGGTGAAATTACAAAATAATATACATAGGTGACTTCATGTCATTGCAATATAATTTTAATTGCATACAGATATATGCATATAAATTGAACACAGCATTATAGCCTTCCAGGAGCACTGAATGTTAAAGTGACTAAAAACAGAGAGAAAAGGATAGTGAAAGAGAAGAATGGAAAGTAGACCCCAATCCTTGGCTGGAGTAAATCAGCATAGCACCAGTGATGTCATAAGGTTCACTTACAATGGATGGGCCATAGTCTACACGGTGATGCCAGCACAGCTTCATTGACTTCAGAGGAGTTGCACTGATACTACTGACAACACAATTTAGATAGTCTGCATAATAAGAAAATTTCAGACTCTTAAAATTATTAGGGAGAAGTAATACACAAAAATCAGTCTGTGTAAAACTGTTTACTAACCTACTGTATGCTAGCCAAATGTTTAGGCCATGTGAATTTTTGTAACCTACTGAGTCATCTCCAGTTTCTGACACACATTGGTTTGTAGGTTTGGCGGTGCAATTCAGGCCAAGATTGAGATTGTGGCAATGTAGGGCCTTACTGTGGCATAACCCTGGAGGGCAACAAAAACTTATCTGCAGAGGAACCCAGAGGTGCCCATTGTATCCACAACATTGGACAATGCTGAGTGGAAAGAGGGCATAGTCAGGATGATCAGAAAATACACCAATTCAGTGCATCCCCTTGCAGACTCTATTGGTGAAGCTCCTATGTAAACCTTGGCAGAAACTAAACTTGCCTTCCCATGCCATAACCCTTGAGGGAAGTTGGCAGGAGAAACAATGCCTGCTCTTTCCCCATGATGAATTTTCCCTTTGCGCTGGGTAGATGAATCTAGCCCATTGTGTCTATGCAATATAGAGAATACAGGTTGGTAAGATTGATATTGTCATTATGTATGACCCATAGCAGTATGAAACAAAGTACATACAGTTTATGCTACTTTATGTATTCTTAAACGTACACAATGTTTTATGAGAAGTTTGAAAATGCATTAGACAGATTAAACACTGAGTTTTTGGTACATTATCCTTTTGTATGCAAAGCCCATAAGTGAGCATGGGTTTTCTGAATTCAGTGCTCAGATGAATGTGTGTATTATCAGGAGCAACAGATACATGAAAACAGACAAGGAAAAGTTCTCCTATGATTGACTGTACACACATACATTCCACTGGAAGTGTATGAGAGTTTTACTGGCCGAACCAGCAGGCGGCACATGGGCCCCCATTTTCCTCATGTGCTGAGCCTCTAAAAGGGCATGGTCGGCAGCTCCCTCTCAGTTCCTCCTTACTACCCGTGATGAGATTTGGACCTCACCCTCACCCTTGAGCTTCAGATAGTCAGCCTTTGAAAATAAGAAACAGTTCTTTTATATAACTGTAGTTTAGTTCAGTGTAGTTAGTAAATTAGGTTAACTGGGATTTACTATATAGAAATCCCCAGGTTTTAAACAGTGTGCCACATGCAAGGCTGTGATCCTTGTTAGTTGCCTAATCTTCTTACGCAAGGGACATGTGAAGGACAAATGTCCTATTAGTTCCTCAGTCCTGACAAGAATAAAGAAACAAAGGGATTTGTGCCTTAAAGTGCATTTTCTGATGAAGGCAATGCGTCTTTCCTCAGAGACTGACCCTGATCAGCAGTGGTCAGAGAGTTTTTCCTGAAGAGTGCCCCTCCCACTGCCTCAGTCACTAAGCTGAAATCATGTTCCTGTTCTGCAGCCTCCTTGAAGCACTCAAAACTATTTTCGTCATCACAGACCGATATACCTTAGATATCTCATTCTTGGACTATCAAAAAGGCTCTGAAAAAGTCCTCCGGTGCTAAGTTGATGTCTGGTCGCAAGCACCAGCACCATCGGAGGTGGCATTGTGGACCCCAGATTCAGCGGGTCTGTGAAAACCAGTGCCTGCACTTCTACTAGAGAGAGATTTGACTCTGGAACTGTTGGGTCCAGCATCTTTGATGTCAGTAGCTGAGCATTTACCTCTGCAATCAGTGACATTGATGCCATGGGCTTTTTCGTGGCAAAAGATGTTTTGTCTCTCCTCTTCCAGGCTCTTCCTTGTTGTATTGTCTGGTCCTGATCTCAATGGCCTCCACTACATCAGCACTATGAGCACTACTAATCACTAGGGCTCCGTCTTTGCAGGGCCATCCCTACCCATACGCAAACTACGCAGCTGTGTAGGGCACCAGGAAATTTGGGGCACCAATTTCCTGGTGCCCTATGCAGCTGCGCGCTGCGTCCAGCTCCAGTGGCCAGTAGGGTTACCATATTAAAGGTTTTTAAAAAGAGGATACTCCATGGGGCCCTGCCCCTGCCCCGCCCCAACTCCGCCCCTTCCCCAAAGTCCCCTCCCCAACTCTGCCCCCTCCCCTGAGCGCCCCGCATTCCCCCTCCTCCTCCCTTCCAGCCACGTGAAAAGGGCTGCCCGAGCGCTACCGGCTTCACGGTTTGCGGGCAGCCCCCAGACCTCCAGACCCTGCGCCCTGGGCCAGGCGCTTCCCCAGTGCAGCCGGAGCCTGGGAGGGGGCGCAGCAGGTCTGGAGGTCTGGGGGCTGCCCGGCAAACCGTGAAGCCAGTAGCGCTGGGGCAGCTCTGCTCTTTAGCTGCACAGCTGAGGTGTCTGGGGGGAGCAGCAGCCACCGCCGCAGCGGGGAATCCGCCTGCAGCTCGCAGCCTGCCGGAGCCACTCAGGTAAGCAGGGGACTGAGACAGGGATGCCGGCATTTTCCCGGACATGTTCGGCTTTTTGGCAATTTCCCCCTGATGGGGATTTGAGCACCAAAAAGCCGGACATGTCCGGGAAAATCTGGATGTATGGTAACCCTAGCGGCTAGCCCAATTCCCCGGATGGCTGAGCTGGCCTCTCGTGGGCTGCACACAGCAAGGCCCAGGAAAGCTGCCGCCATCCCTGCCCCACCCCTTCCCCTCAGCCCCCGCCCCTGCTCCACCCCCCCACCTCTTCCCGCTCCTGCTCCGCCCCTTCCCCCCCAAACCTCATCCCCTGAGCTATGTGTCCCGGGGTACTGCAGCAGGGGTTGGGGTTGGGCCCGCCCTGCACTCAGTGGGCGGTGGGAAGTGGAGCGACCCGGCCCCAGCCCGCTAGTAAGAGACGGAGGCCTGGGACACCCCCCAACCCCTGCAGAGGCCTGGGATGCCCCGCCCCGGAGGCCCAGGGGCTGCGTAGGACACCACAATCTCTAGGGATGGCCCTGCGTGTTTGTCACAGAGCTCACAGATTCCGTGACTTCTGCAGCGGCTGACCCCAGGCGGCCCTGCAGCCAGCCGCACCACCCACTGCTGGAGTGGCCCCGCACCGGCTGCTGCTCTGGTGGCTCTGAGCAGCTGGCCCCTGGGACCGCCCGAGCAGCAGTCGATGCGTCTGCCCCTGGGGACTGCCTGAGCAGCGGTGCTGGGGGCAGTTGGAGCAGCAGCTGGCCTCCCGGGCTTTCCCCCCACAGCAGCGACCGGCCCCCTGGGGCTCTCCCCCTAAGATTCAATCAGGGGTATTGATGGCGTAAGTCATGGATAGGTCATGGGCCATGATTTTTTGTTTCTTGCCCATGACTTTTACTAAAAATACCCATGATTAAATTGTAGCCTTAATAATCACCACAGCACTAGCAGTTCCATCTTCTTCATAGATGCAGCCTGCTTCCTCTCCATCGACACCATCAGCAGTAACTCAACTGTCTGCACTGTGTCCTCCCTGTTTGCTTCAACCAACACCGCCAGATACATCATCAACTTTGGTACTTTTGGGACAGCACTGTATGTCAGTCACCCATGCAGAGACCTCCATCAACACATACTGGGATTGCTCTGCCATTCATTGAGGGGAGTAATATTGCCTCATCTTCAGACACTGACCATGATAGTCCCACGTATCTGTCAAGGTCTTTCAAGTCATCATACAGATCATGTTCTAGGGATACATGAACCCTATTAGAACTGTATTATAAAGACTCCCCATTATGATGCCCACCACAATGGCAGTACAAAGACTGGGCTGTCCTCCATGGTCCCCCTGGGCCTCTTAGACCAGTGGCTCTCAACCTTTCCAGTCTACTGTGCCCCTTTCAGGAGTCTGATTTGTTTTGTGTACTCCCAAGTTTCACTTGACTTAAAAACTAATTGCTTACCAAATCAGACACAAAAATACAAAAGTGTCACAGCACACTATTACTGAAAAAAAATTGCTTACTTTCTCATATGTACCATATAATTATAAAATAAATCAACTGGAAAATAAATATTGTACTTTCAGTGTATAGTATATAGAGCAGTACAAACAAGTCATTGTCTGTATGAAATTTTAGTTTGTAGTGACTTTGCTAGTGCTTTTTATGTAGCCTGTTGTAAAAGTAGGCAAATATTTAGATGAGTTGATGTACCCCCTGGAAGACCTCTGCATACCCCCATGGATACATGTACCCCTGGTTGAGAACCACTGTCTTAAACTGCTCCAAGAGCATCTAGGTCTCTGTTGGCCACACAGTGCAGGAGAAAGTCGCCTGCTCAAGCACTTACAGCAACAAGAAAAGATCCTCCTCCTAACCTGAAACCCTCTCTTTTTTGGAGCCCACAGAGGAAGAGGATGCTAGAGAGAAACCCCTGGATAGTCCCCCTCAATATTTCTTTCTCTTCCCCAGATGAGGCCATCACCCCAGAGTCAACATTGCCTCCTCTTGAAGACTGTAAAATTTTTCAAGGTCTCAGTAGGAGGGTGTCCACTTCTCTGGGAATACAGGTGGATCTTGTGCAGGACAATCCACACAAACTATTGGATATCTTACAAACTTCCACTCTGGGAACGATTGCCCTTCCCATTAATGAAGTCTTGCTGGATTCCACAAAGACCCTTTGGGAGACACTGGTTCTCTACCCAACCCACTGCCAAATGAGTGTACAGATGGTATCAGGTTCCCCAGCAAGAGTTTGAATTTTTTTTTTACCCACATTGCTTCTTTCGTGACTCTTTAGTGGTCACAGTGGTACACAAGCATTCAGGGCGGTCTTACTCTCTGGCTACCCTGAAGGATAAGGAGTAAGAGACTGAACTTGTACAGTAGAAAGGTTTATGCCACTGCAAGACTTCAAATGAGGGTGTCAAATGACCAGGGCTGTCCCTACCCATATGCAAAGTATGCAGCTGTGTGCTGCTGCAGGCCCTGCTCCACCCCTTCCCCATGGCCCCCGCCCATGCTCCACCCCAGCCCCGCCTCTTCCCACCCCTACTCTGCCCCCACTGCACCCCTTCCCCAAAGCCCCCACCCCTGCCCCGCCTCTTCCTGCCCCTGCTCCACCCCAACCCCGCTCCCACTCCCCTGAGGACTGCAATAGAGAGCGGGCCTGCATTCACTGGCATCGGTAAGTGGAGTGACCTGGCCCCAGCCTGCTCTGCTCCCCTGGTTCCCAGCCGCGCTGCCAGTGAGTGCTGGGGGGCAGTTCTCCCCTGCCCCCCAAGCCTGGGAGCCAGGGGAGCGGAGCGGGTTGGGCCCGGGTCGCTCAACTTACCGCCGCCCCGTGAGTGTGGGGTCGGGTCTGCCCTGTACTCACCAGGCGGCAGGAAGTGGAGCGACCCAGCCCCAACCTGCTCCGCTCCGCTGGCTCATGCTGGGGGGTGGTTTCCCCCTGCCCCCCAAGCCACCTCTCCTCCCCCCCGCAGAGGCCTGGGGCCAGCTGCTCCCCTCCCCACCCGCAGAGGCCTGGTGCCCCCCACAGCGTCCCCATGGGGGGGGGTCTGCATAGGGCACAAAAATGGCTAGGGCCGGCCCTGCAAATGACCTGGCATTGTCCAAATGCACCTTTATTAACTAGTCAGCAATTTCAAAATTTGTGAACAACTGCTCAAAGAATACGAGATCACTTTTCGAAGTTAGTCTTTGAGAGTCATCTCACAGCACAGATATCTCTCCAGGTGATTATCGACATGTCAGATACCACGTCATGTTCAGTGGCTTCAGCCATCTCAATGAGATGCTCTTCTTGATTGCAGACCTCTGGCATCCCAAAAGATCTACAAAATACAATAGAAGATCTGCTGTTTGAAGGTGCTAAACTGTTTTCTCAGATGACCAGTGACACCATGTGCATGTTGAAAGATTCTCATGTGGTCCATTTGCTGGGTTTCTATATCCCAGTAACAAAAAGGAAGCTGTTTAAGCCCCAAATGCGGGACAGATCTTACTACCAGAAGAAACCTGAATGTAGAGAAATCAATATTACAACCAACACAGCGAATAGGTTTCATAGGGGCAGATCTCTATGCCACAACTGCCATGGCTTACCTCCCAATGATGAACTGGTTCCGGTCCATAGTCTTTCTGTGTGAGAATCTCAAGTCTAACCCAAGGACAACAGTGCACTTGTGTCTACAACTGTTGGGACACATGGCTTTGTGCACATACATGATTCAGCATGTCAGACTGCACCTCAGATGTCTGCAGGTCTGGCTTCACTCAGTATATCATCCAAGCAGACATTCACTGGGCACACTGCACGAGCGGATCAGTCCCTGAATTGGTCGTTAGACCCTTAGAATGTATGCAGGGGTTTCCTTTCCTACCACCAGAACAAACTGTGACTTTGGTAACAGATGCATCCACTGGGGTTGGAGGGCCCACCTGGGTCAGCTTTCAGACTCCAGTACTTTGGATGCCTCAGGAACTTTTGTTCCATGTAAATGTGCTGGAACTTTAAGCTATTTGTTGGGCCTGTGAAATGATAATTACTACTGTCAGGGAGCAGGTGGTTCAAGTTCTCAGCAGGAACACCACTGCTATGTTTTATCTGAGCAAGCAGGGAAGTGCGAGGTCATCTCAGCTGTGCCAAGAAGCAGTCCACTTGTGAAACTTCTGTATAAAGAACAATAGCTTGCTAAAGGCTTTTCACCTTCCAGGGTGAAGAACATTATTCCCTCAGCAGAAACTTCAGAGACCATCATGAGCGGTCAATAGGGAGGGATATTCTCCAGCAAATCTTCTGTTAGAGGGGTTGTGCAATAATAGACCTCTTTGGAACCAATCTGAACAGCAACTGCAGGAGCTTCTGCTCCAGGGCAGGTCACAGCCCAGATTCCGTGACAGATGTCTTTCTTCTTCCCTGGTCGAACCATCTACTGTATGCATTCCCTCCAGTAACTCTGATTCTGAGGGTGATCAGGAAATGAAAAATAGCCAAGGCAAACTTAATTCTTGTAGCACCTGCCTGCCTGACCTGGCCAAGATAGTACTGGTATACAGATCTATATCAGCTCCCCATTCGTGCACCTATATCTCTTCCTCTGGTCGAGGATCTCTTGTCTCAAAACCAAGGCAAGTCACTATGCCCCAATTTACAGTCTCTTCACCTATTGGCATGGAAGATCTTATTTGAGCAGTGAGGAAAGTCTGCTCCTGTGACGTCCAAACCATTCTAGTGAACAGCAGAAAGGATTCCACCAACACCACATGTGCAGCAAAATGGAAAAGGTTTTAAATCTGGGAAGAATGTTATCAGCTATCTGCTGATAGAATAGAGATGAGACTCCTACTGCATTGTAAATCCTCTGGTCTCGCTATCAGTTCAGTGAGAGTCCATTTGACGGTCGTTTATGCAGTACACCCAGCAGTGGATGGATTTTCCATCTTTTTTGCATCACTTGGTATCCATAAGTTACCCATATCCTTAAGTTTATGCCCAAAGTGATATTACCATTCCACCTCAACCAGACTAACATCTTTCAGTGTTCTTTCCAAAGCCTCATTCTTCCAAGGCTGAAGAGAAGCTTCATACCTTGGATGTTCGGAGTGCTCTGGCATTTTATTTGGACTTTCAGATCCTCTCCCAGGATGTTTGTAGCCTACATTGAGAGCATTAAAGGACCACCTGTTATAGGTCTGCGTATTTCACATTGGATGTCAGATTGTATTAAATGTTGCTATGATCTGGCAAAGGTCTCTCCGCCACTGAGAATAACAGCCTACTCTACTAGGGTTCATTCCACTTCATCAGCCTTCTTGAGCAACATTGCTATAGTAGACATTTGTAAAGCAGCAATGTGGTCATTTATACATCCCTTCTCCATATACAGTACTACACTATTACTCAAGCTTCCTGAGAGGATGCCAACTTTGGCAAGTCATTATTGCAGTCTTCTTGAAGTAGTCTGAAGTCCTACCACTTGTAAATAAACTGCTGGTGAGTCACCTACAGTGGAATATATATTTGCACAATCACTCAAAGGAGAAAAAAAATGTACTTACCTGTACACTAACTGTTTGTTCTTTGAGATGTATTGTGCATATGTACATTCCGTGACCCTCCCACCTTCCCTGCAGCTTTGAGTTTAGTTTACCAGCTGTGCGAAGGAACAGAGAGGGAGATGGTGACCACGTCTCTTTATACCCTCAGCTTGGTACACAAGGATAGCAGGGGTGCACGTACTACCCAATGGTATGACGAGTAAAAGTCTCTGACTCAAGTACATTAGGTGCATGTACACCTACAGTGGAATGTACACGTACAACACATCTTGAGGAACAACAGTTACTGTATAGGAAAGTAACTGTGGAGATTTTTTTTATCCCTAATAGGAATTGCCTATTAAATAAGTAACATGTTAATAAAAAGGGTATGTCATGTATTTTTCCCTTTGCTTACCATACTTGTACTTGTTTACCGTGGAACTTGTTTGTAAATGTATTTGCTGTAAGAGTTAATTACTTGTTACGTTTAAAAGAGAAAAATGTTACATTTTCAGGTTTTCTGCACAGCAGAAGTGGAGTTTATGTTCTGCTATGGAAGTTTCGGATATGGCTACTCGCACCAGGTTTGGACCTTTTTTTTGATCTGTTATAATTTTGGACTAGAGCTATTCCATTCCAAAGTTCAGACATTTATAACTTCCATAAAAATTTGTATTTGGGGATGATATTTTCCAAGCTTGGATTAATCCTTATGAGGAATCCTTTTGTAAAGATGGAACAAAATTCATTGATATGGTATTTGAGTGAGATGAAGATGAAAAAAAGTTGTATGCTTAAAACTATATTATATATATATATATATGGTGTTCATCTAGCTAGCAAATAAATTATAACAGTATAACTTGAGTTTTGTACTTTTGATACACTTTCACTGGGTGTATAGACCCCGTGCTGGCATGAGGTCTAAGGGTTAATGCAGCAACTACCAGCCAGTGCTGACTGGCACATCCTCGCAGCAACTAGGAGAATAAAAGAGCTGAGAAACAGAGGGACAGAGTGGCTGCCAGAGCAGCAAGCAGACTAGAGAAGGAAAGTCCTGCCAGCAAACTGGTGAGAAGCTACCCAGGGACAACTCTGTAGAGAAAGGATGACTGGAACCACAGGCTGAAGTAGCCCTCAGTAGCAAAAGAGGTAGGAAGGAGCTCAGGGTACAGAAGGAGGAATTGTTGAGGACTGATTCTGGCATTGGGTTCCACTACTAATCCCTCAACAGAGACTTAAGAACCAAAAGGGGTTTGCAGGCCCCCTGAGGACCAACACTAGCTAGCCCCCCGCCAAGTATAAGGGGAAACATGTACATCACAGAAGGACTGAAATTAACACCCTTCATAGTCCAGAATAGGACTGCCACAGAGACTCGGGCAAGAAGAGCTGACTCACAGTCCTGCTGGACCGAGCAAACTCTGTGCAATGTTGCGTCTGACCAAAAGGGGCACTGATACAGTAGCACACCAGCCCATATGTGGTACCAAAAGTGGGGTTTCACTGTGTCTGAGCCCCCAGTAAGGCCTAAGATGGAGGAAGCACTCAGATTGCTAGCCCAGCAGTGGGCTGCTGCCTTGATTCAGCAAGCAATGGCTCAGGAGCAACAATAACAGATGCAGACCTTGACGCTACACTTGTTACAGGCTCAGCAGTGGCAAAATGACCTGCAAACAGTCTCTCACTGACAACAGCAGGAGGCCTGCCACCCAGGCCACGGCTCAACAGCAGAGCCAACAAAGGTTGGATATGTAGCCATCCAGCAACAGCAGCTGGGTAAATGTATGGGGGCAACACTTAGGATAGCACCACCCGCACTGGCTAGAGCTACGGCATAGTTGGTGAGTTGGTCCAGCAGTCCTGTGCTGTCCAAGATGGGACCTGAGGATGACCTGGAGGCCTTTTAGGAGATCTTCGAACACCTCACCACCTGCACCCACTGGGACCCTGAGACCTGGATCATCCACCTCGCTTCTGTTTTGACCAGGGAACCACAGGCCCTCAACCAACAATCCGTCCTTGACTACCCAATGGTAAAGGCAGCCATATTTGACTGGCTGCAATTAAGTGAAGAGACTTGTTGCTATTTCAGAGAGCAGAGATGTAGCACATTCATGCAGCCGCAGGCACTGACAAAGAAATTCAAAGGTGTCAGCTGGAAGTGGATGAGACCTGAGGCTAGAACAGGGGTCGGCAACCTACGGCACGCGTGCCAAATATGGCACGCAAGCTGATTCTGAGTGGCACGCAGCTCCCCTGACGCGGTCCCGGCCTCCAGCCCCACTTAGCTCCCCCGCCCCCCGCTTTCCCCTGTCGGGGCAGGAGGCAGAAGCTTGGTTCTGTGGCAGCCAAGCTTCCCCCCGCCCCCGCTCCAGTGTGGTGCTTTCCTGCCCCGCCTACTCTCGGTCCCTGGCCAATCAGCTGGTGGCCCTAGCGAGGGGGATGGGGAAGAGTGGCAGCGTGCACACCGCTCCGTAGAGGACGCAGAGAGAGGTAGGGACGGAGCCTGGGGGAAAGGGGTGGAACAGGGCATATCCCTTCCAGCCCCCTGCCGTGAGCTGCTCAGGGCAGGGGGCTGGGAGCACCCCCACAAGCCGAGCACCCCAGCCTTCTGCCCTGCACCCCAACACACACTCAGCCTTCTGCCCTACACCCCCTACACCCCCATCCCTCTGCCCTGAACCCCCCACCCCAACACACACCCAGCCTTCTCCCCTGCACCCCCATACCCCCAGCCTTCTGCCCTGCACCCCCTACACCCCCCAGCTCTCTGGCCTGAC